AAACAGGCACCGCCGTCCATATAGTCGGTAACAGATATGGAAAAAGAAGCAGGTCCATGCTTCCCTCTCATTGCTTAGTGAAAAGTCTCGAGCTCTTTTTAAACTTATTATGTTGCTTAATAACCCATCCTAAAAATATCTCCAATGCTCAATGAACATTGAGGTTTCAATTACCCTTAAGAGTAGAGTAATTATCATTTATCATTCAATTTGAGAATTATGCAGGTGAAGACCCTTAAAGGGGCAAGTTAGTGTTATTAAGACACTTCGCCAATTTTGATTTTAACAAGGTGTTCAATTTTTATTCACTTTTCTAATTCTTATTTAACCAAATTTGATTTAGCTTAGGTCACTACTAAACCCTTAAGATTTTGGTGGATATCTGATGGATGTTTTAATCATTTTGAAAGAGACTAAATTTTAAGTGATAATAATTCATCATCAAAACATTTGAATGTCACTTGAACACCAGATAGGGGTATTAAATTAGTAAGTTATTAAACACCCAAAACTATACCCCTAAGTCTAGGATCATTTAATTTGGTAGACTCCCAAATTTTAATCATCTAGGAAATTTCAAATTTATCATTTAATTGAAAAAAGTGAGATTGGTTTCTACCAATTAATCCCTTTTGTTTCAATCATTCAAATATGTTAATTAAGATCAAATGTTGTCTATTTCCCTTTCTTAAATTAAGCATAAATGCTAAGTTTCCAAAATTACATTTCAGCCCCTAAGGCTCTATTACTTTATAATTTGTCAAATTTAATTCAAATGACTTTGAAGTTTTTATCCCATCACACTCAAGCGTCAATTAAGACATCAGAGGAGAAAATATGATTTTTCATATTTTAATTTAATTTATATATTTATTTATATGCAAGAATAAAATTTTTTAAAGAAAATTCCATAACTTGACCAAGGCAAAGCCTAATCACTTGAAATTTTTACTAGAGATAGACTTAGACAGAGAAACACTAGACCAAACTTCATGATTTTTTGAATTTTATTTGAATTATTAGAATTATTTTAAGTTATGGAGCATTTATTAATTATAAAATATTTTAAATGTGAAAAATTAAGTTTTATATTTTTATTAAATATCTCTAAGGTCAAGGAACCCTGAGAAACAAATTTCACATTTTTCTGATTTTTCTTTGAATTGTTAGAATTATTTTAATGAAAATCCATTTTTAGTCTTTAAAAATTATTTTAAGCTTCAAAATTCAATATCTTCACTTGGAAAATCAGGAAAAATATTCTAATTGTTCCTAAGTGCATAGGAAATAATTTAGAATATTTCCATGAATTTTATTATTTTTTTGTGATTTTTGTCATTTTTAATTATTTAAATATTAAAGAAATGCTTAAAAATGAAAATTTTATTTTAATTACAAATTTATTTTTAGAAAATTCATCTGATCACAGAGAACTCCAAAAACTAATTTTTATAATTTTGTTGAGTTATATTTTAATTGTTAAAAATCATTTTAGTGTTAAAAATGACATTTAACTTAGAAAATCATTTGAGTTATCAAATGAGCTCCAAATGTTTTGAAATTTTTATGGGAAGTTCTTGAACTTTGAGTCTTAGTGAAGATTAAAAATTAAGTCATTTAGATGTCTTTGTTTCCCAAAATTAATTTTTTTTGCATTTTAGAGTTTGTGAAAATTAGGTGTATTTTTAATGACTTAACTCATGAAATATTTTCCATAGAATTCTCTGGCCACAATAAATCTTCCAAAATTTTCATAAAATTTTCTAAGCAACATGCTAATTATTATGATTAATTTATGCAAATAATAGACATAAAATTGAAAAATATGGATCTCTATCTAAAGATCTCATCTGACTTTGATAAAATCCGA